TTGAAAATTCATTCCATAAGTATTAAATTATGTGATGATCCAACACTGTTCTTTTTACATTTAGTGCCTTTTTTCCTTATATTTTATGTCAGTTTACTAAGTAAAACATAAATTTATTGAAAAATTAATAAATTGAACTATATCAATAGGCGGAACAACTGCAAATATATAATCCAAAAATTACTAAAATTATCTGTAAGAATTGTACATTCTGAACAATTTAAATTGTAATTTTATAACCGGCTATTCTTGAACTGAATCATGTGAACCAATCTTTTATATTATTGTGCCTGTAAGGTAGACTTGCTAATTATATTTTGATTTAATATTCTAAACTAACAAGTAATTACACTGCCTATAATTTGCATCTGAAAAAAATTTCATTAATAAATTGTTTAAACCTTTTTGATAAAAAAAAAGTATAAATATATTATATAAATTGTTGTTATTAATTTTTTATTTTATATAACAATATCAGAAATTACTATATTTTTATTCAATAGCTGGTTATTGTTAGAAATTTAATAACTGCTGTTTCAGTTTATTTAAAAATTATAATGCATAGGATAATTGTTTTTAATTTATTACATAAATATTAAAATTCTTTCATGAACTTGTTTAAACAGTTTGGCTGTATTTTTTGAAGAAATAATTATTTTATCAATCATTAAATGTGTACTCAATATTTAGGTCCATTTACTTCTTTGTTTATTTAATTGAGAATGTAAACAAAATATTTTTTCCCCGAAAAGAAATCGTTGATAAATAAAAGTTTATTCGATATTCTATGCTATTCGCTCGCTTATATTCATTTCTTTGGCATTATATTATTACTGCAAGGTAGAAGAATGCCTCTTGAGGGTTCCTGGATCTCCTTTATCTACATCTAAACAGCAAGAGATCGTCGTTTAACTTGCTTACAAAAAAAGGAAAAAAGGAATTTACCACTCAAATAGACTTTTAATTAACTTATAATTAAAATTTCTATTCGAGGAACGGCACAGAATTTTTAAAATATTTTATATAATATATTTAAATATAAACTCATTAAAGAGTATTGAATTGAGATGGTTTCAGTAACTTGATACATACTCTTATACATTTTTGTTTTCAAGGAATTAAGAGTTTTAATAAATAAATTGCTATAATAAGTCGAAAAAATATCTTAAACAATTATTCCTTTATTATTTTCAAATATTTCAATTAGTAATTCGAGAAAAAAGTCATAAAATGTAATTTTAAATTATTATTTTTATTAAATAATAATTATATTTAATACGTATTCGTTTAGTACGAATTTAATTTGTAATGGAATATTTCAATAATATGAATTTCGATTGTAAATGTAAATTAAATGGCAGAACAGAAATATTTGAGAATAATTTTTTTTGATTCTAAGATTTTAAAATATTCTCTTAAAGGAATAATTATATAATAGTAATTGTTATTCATTTTTTAAAATAAATTTTATCATTAGACTTTGTTTTCAATGCATTTATTAAAACTTAAATTTGATGGAATTTTTAATATTTAATTGAATTTAAATTGACAAAAGATTTAGTTTAATTATATAAAAAGTTCTTAAAACTACAATTTTGTAGATTTTTCTTCTTCGTATTTAGTATTAATGTCGATAAATTTTAATCTCTAAATGTTTAAAATATATATTTTGTATCATCTTAATTATTGTTAATTTAATATGAGTAATTATTATGATTATTAAATTAAACAAATTGATGAAAACTTAAGATTTGTTAAAGTTTATAAATTTATAATTTTAAACAAATATTTAATATAAGAAAAATGGTTTAGATATTGACGATGGATAAATCAAAATTCAGTAATTTCTTTTGTTTATTTCGAAAAGATAATTCTAAATTTTTATTTTTCTAAATATTTGAAAACGTTTTTGGTCCAATTAATTATTATAAATTACAATTAATTTGTTTACAGTGGACTTTATTGTTATTTAATTAATATAAATTACATAAGTTTGATTTCGAAACAGTTGATATACTACACACACAAACGTATATGTACAGTACAATACACACACAAACGGTTATATGCTAGATATATATACTTAAATATTTTATCTGAAAACACGAGAATGTCTCATTGCTCACTAAAAATTACACTTGTAATCTTGAAAAAATATTAAAGCATTAAACATTTCTTTAACTAGCACTATTCTACGTTTTTGTGAAAGTTTTTTTTTCTTGCTTTATATATCATTCCTTTTACTACTAAATTATCCTGATATTTTTCATTTAATGTTCTCTATTTATGTAATAATTTTGAATAAAACTTTATCCAACTTTTCTTATACATAGATTATTTATTTTTATCAAATTTTATTTTATCAAACTTAGAATTATAAGAAAATGGTCATAATAAATTTAAGTTTGTAGTAGAGACAACTCTTTCGTTTGTAAACAAATTTTCCACACTTGTTTAATTTCACTTGTATATATTGGAACCATCAATCACCACTCACATTTGATAATGATGGAAATTTGTAGCATGAAATCGTTAGGTATTCCTTTACTATTTGTATTCTTAAAATTATTTGTTATTATTATATTTACTCGCTAACTTTGAAATATTTTCTCATTCTTCTCAAATGTACAATATGTCCCGTAAATTCTTCTGGTTCCAATTTTTGGCCTTATTTTTTCGCGATGTTTTATAGTTGCTCTTCTACAATTCAACTTCTAGTCTAAATCTTAAAACTAACTCTTTTCTTCGAATGCTAAATTACTTATATTTTTTTCGTTTCGAAAAGAATCTTCTTTCTTATGATCTATATTGTAACTCCACGTATATTTCCCTGTTGTCATACATAGCTATTTCTACGCACCAGTCTTGAATTGCAATAAGATCTTATCCTTACGTTTCATCTCTTCATCTATATTTTCATCTTCCTTTATAACTTTCATATTCAACATATGTACTTTGACACTCGGATGTTACGCGCTTCGTGTCTTATTTATTTTTTCCTTTCCACTATCGTGTTTATATGTCATATCGACGTCAAGTAATAGCGTAACTCGCATGCTCTATTTGCATCGTTTCATATCTTATTCATGCATTTATAAATACAGAAAAATTCCTTAAAATTTAGTTTATTATTGCCTTAACATAATTACAATACGTAAGGAATTAATTCCTTACGTAACTAATTATCTTTTCACTTAAATATAAATTACACTAAGTAATTTTGTTATCATTTATTTCTTTCCAAGTATGGCGATTCCTAAAAAAAGTAACACACCAATTATATTTTTGAACTCAGAGGACCTTAGAACAATGAAAAATGCAAAAAAAGAAAAAAAAGTTGAATATTTTTCTGTTTTTATGGACGTTAGTGTGTATGTGGGAGGGACACGATTTTGTTCGCTCACTTTTAAAGCTTAATAACTCCTGTTCTTTTTAACTAAAATTGCTGAAATTTTGCAGAGATATTTGTGTATTAAGGAGAAATAGTTCTAGAAATTTTCATAAAAATTGGACCATTGGGTCGGGAGTTATCGCTTCATTTCCTTAACATCTCCCGAATCAATCTGAAGACTTAAAGGTAATGGTAGCAATTATCAAGGATGAAAACAAATAAAGAATATTGGGAAAGTCCAACAACAACATTGACAGCTTTTCTTTATTATTTAAATCGAAGTTTACCTTAATTATTGTACCATAACAACAAAAATTAGTATTAAGAATGTAGTAAACATTATAACATGGGAAAGATTAAAAACATCATTTATTTTAGAATAATAATCTAAAATTTCTGTACAGATATGGACAAGAAAAATTATTAACGTAACCATTTAATTTTGAATGAATATAAAAACAAAAGTCACACGTAAATTTGCGATAATAGAATATAGACTATGCAACAAGGAAAATCAATTTATATAACCAGATGGTTGGGTTATAAATATCTTAACTATCAGCAACTAATTGCAAATTACTGTAAGGAAGTATCGATATAAATTATGCAACAGGCTATCTGTAACTTATTCATTATTACAGTTTTCATAATAGATGCTGTTATGAAAATATTTTCTAACATTTATCTACGCTTTTAATTATTTCCGTTTGTTTTTCTCACTTTTCTTTAAATATTTATTAGAAAAAGTTAAAAGAAAAACGTCAATTACAAGAATAAATTGCCAGAAAGGTTTGTTAATTGCAAATCTTTCTGGTAATTTATTCTCGGAATTGACAAAACTTGCAAATTTCCTTGTGGAAATTTGCAGAAAATTGATATTATTTGCAAAGTTTCATTCAACGTAGCAAAATAAATAAATTTATTACCAAGAAATTCATATTAAAAATCTGAATAATAATGTTTTATGACATAAAAGTGAAAGAAAATTCAGAATTTATATGTATTATTACGAATATTAACACGTATTAAGATCATTATAAAAGTATTTTAATATTAATTTTGGTTTTTGAATTATTTATTAATTTTTAAAAGGATAATTTCGGCTTTACGACGTATTTTTTTGCCGGTGTGTCAATTTATAAAGCGTTGAATAAAACTTTCTTTAGGCCTCGGAAATCACAGCTTTAATCCAAATTTCAGACGTAATCCTATTCTAAAACTTTTTATTAGTGTTTTGTTATCAAGAATTTTTGCATTAGAACTTTTTATATTCCGTAATAAATCAATACGTTGACAGTTTTATGTGTTAAAATTACAATAGTGATAATTGATTTTTTTGATCCGCATGTAAAATAACTTTTATATAAAATATTGAATAATTTAAATTTCAATTCGATCGAGTCTTCGATAGTTTTTAAATATATATTTTTTCCCTCTTCAGAAATGTGTATTACGTTCGGTGCTACTAGAAGTAAACATTTATGAAATCGCGAGAAGTACAGCAACGTCGTTGCTTTACTTCTTGCATTTTTCATGAAATTCTTACTTTATTTTCGCCTGGAGCATAAACCAATAATTTTTAAAATTTTATTTATTTATTTATTTGCAGTCTGTAATCAACTCAGTCGTGGTATATTCGCATTGGTTTCACCGACGTCAGAACCGTCCTATCACACTCTGGCTGCCTATACCAACACCTTTCAGATGCCTTTGGTCAGCCCTTCGTTTCCGGAAGCCGGGGCTGACCGCGACATGCAATTTGCCCTCAACATGAAACCCGTTTATTTGCGTGCAATCGTCGACGTCATCAAACATTATCAATGGAAGTCTATCATTTATTTATACGATTCGGACGACGGTGAGTCCTAAACTTTATTTTTGATTCCTGTACAATTTGATCGTGTTCCGTAATGGTTATACACTAAAAAATAATGGAGAAATTTAAAGTTTAAGCGATGATATAACCAACTTTTTACGCAGAAAATATCTTAAACACTCCATCTTGAACGGGGCGTGAGTTATAATCATGCATTCATATAAGTTACATCCCTGTTCAAGGTATAAACTTAAGTCTGTGTTCGGTTTAATAATTATATGGACGTAAAGATAATTTGCTCTGTGGAGCATAAAAGTGGAAATTTGGAATCATTAATAATTAATTTCTTGAAATTACGAAGGGGAATTGTTAAAATGCCGTCTTATCATTTTACACGATTTTTGTTCTCATTTTATGCACCGGAATAAACTGTGCATTTCCAGAATAAAATATAAGCAGATATCCAATTTCTCATTCCTCGATTTAGAAATGATTTACCAAAAAATTCAAAAAAAAAAGATAAGATGTTGAATGAATGTTTGTATCAAAAGGTTTCGTATTCCATGATATATAAAAGAAAAAAATGTGCAGAAGATTCCTTTTTCTATTCTTGTAATATTCTCGAATCTGTGCATTTCCATTTTCTAAAAATTCACTTTTCTCCACTTTCTTAAAATAAAAATTTACGAATTGATTATCTTTTTCGATCTTTAGGAAAACTGAAAATCAATACAAATATGCGATATGACAATAAAAATGAAAATCATTATCGATTTTACCTGTTTAGTCACAAAAATAAATTAAAAATAGATTATAGACGCCATTAAAAACTTAATATATCGGAATTTTGTAAATTAAAATTTATTACTAGACAAATAATTTTTACGTATTAAACTTCGTAATAAGAATTTTTATTAAAATTAAAAATTAAAAAGAAAAAAGATATATACATTTTTTATTTTCCTTAACTTTTAAAAATTTGTCGATGTTGTATTGTAAAATATTTTGAAAAATTCTGTGAAAATAAAATATTTCTTTTATCTATATTTTTATTTTAGTAATGTAAAACACTTTGGAGTAGAGTTAATGATGCTTTTAAGCGTGAAAGCTTCGTATAAAAAAGAGAATTTGCATGAGTGGCCACCACCGAAAATTTCTCTGTTAGAAGCTACTTCATTTTAGTTAAATCCATTCGTTGTTTAAACATTTCAATAACTATTTTATTTAAATATTTTTTCTTCATAGTATAAATAATCGTTATTTCTCACTCATGGCTCAGATTAAAAGCGCATCGAACGGGAAATTAAACGATATAAACGGAAGTTACGTAAAGGAAGCGTGAAGTTACGTATTCGGAGTTATTAATTTGAATGCGGTCTATCGGATGGCGCCGTATCTCTAGTGTAAGCCTTCGTTTCTCGACTTAATGGCCCGGAATTCATTAAATTTTGCCCGTCCCCTTTTTTATTTTATCGAAACTCTGGAGATGATGTAGTATATCGCGGCCGTCATTTATTCTCTTGTTTATTTTTTTTGAAAATTTCCCTTTCTAAGTACTACGAAGTACTTAGAAAGGGAGTCTTAGTTTTGAAAATTTCTCTTTCTAGTTCTACAAGAAATATTATTTCTTGAAATAAAACATGTAAAAATTTTCTTTTTTTACATTTTAATTTGTATACGATGATAGTTTGTTTTTGTATCACCGTTACATGCATTTATTTATTTTAAATAGAAATAAATTTAATTTCTCTTTGGAAACATTTACTAATGAAATGCTTTACATTTAATTTTCTGTCAATAGCGTTTTTTTTATTTCTCTAATTTTCCTTGATTAAGTAATTAGCGAAAGGTTCAAATTATAAGAAGAAGAAGAAAAAAATCGAGATTACGTTGCTTTTCATTAATGGCTCTTTTTATTTGTTCTGCATCCGAAGGAGATGCCATTATTATTATTATATTATTCCCAATGCTTCGTTCAGGTAAAAAAAAAAGAGAGAGAGAGAGAGAGAGAAGAAGCTATTAAAAAAAGAAGTAGGAAACGTTCTTAAGTCCGAATAAATTTTTGGTAGTATTTAAATGAAAGAATTTTATTTTCGATTGTTTGAGTGCAGAAATGGATGAATTCGTCCATATTTTTCTCTTCTCTTTTGACTCAAAGGCAAATGCGGCTTAGTTTCGACTGGTATCGTAAAGGTGTACAAAGCAGATACAACATAAGCTTTCGAACATGGTCGTATCGATCTATCTTAGGTCAGGCAGTCATGCGGCAGCTCCACGTTTTCTCCACTGTTAGGTATGTACGTGTTTGATGTCAATACGACTGATGGCGGTTGCTCGACGATACATCATTGGCTTCTTAGAGCCCGCTGTCAAGCTTTAGTTTACAGCAGATTCTTGTCACCTCCGCAGAAATCAGCTTCACTTTTTAATAATTCATAACTTAATGTATAACTAAGATGTATCAAATGCTAAAAATCAAAATCTTTTCTTCTTCCACTCTTGTGACTACAAGATGTCATGTAAATATAGACTGTGTCGGTGTTTATTTTATCTTATTAATTTTCTTTAGTTTCTTTCAAATCTGAATGTATACGTATGTACTTTATTCTGTTACGTAAATGTTTAAGAATAGTTTAAATTATTGAACTTCGAATCAACAACTTAAAAAATGATTCAGTGAAAATATGAGACATTTAAATATAATATAAAACGATTAACATCTGCATTAAGTCTTGTTAATAATAAAAAGCAATAATATAAAATTTAATTTGTATTATAAAACAACAACGTTGATATTATTTGACTCTGAATTATATATAAACGTATATAGGATAGGGTATAAAGAAGGCTGATTAAAAGATGCCGTGTATAAATATTGGATGGAGTAAATGCTCAGGCAGTAAGGAGTCGTAAGAGATAAAAAGGTACGACTTAGTAAGCAGGATAAGCCTGGTAACAATGAAGATTTGCATCATTTAGTCAAAGTTGAACAAGAAAAGATGGGAGGACAAATGGAGTCGAGAATACCTATCACCTCTATACATCTTAGTCGAATACCTTCTGTAATTCTTGTCTAGATACACACTCTCTTTGATTTTCTCGTCATTCGGAAGTCAATCAATATTTACTGACTATTCACAACTTGACAAAAGGATATTGTAAAACATGTGAGCAATTGATAACACGCCGGGGGAAAAAAGACAAATTCAGAAACATGATTCACACTTCTTATCTTTGTATTCTGTATTCAATAAACTCGGTCGCGTAACTAATCAAAATCGCTAGGTGTATTGAATCATTATCTATATTCCTCTATTATTCTGCCTCTATTGATAAACTAACCTCGCAGGCGATTTTATTCTTTTCACATTGAATATTCTGTAAATCTATAAAATATTCGGAGTTTTTAAGCCGTGTTTTTATATAATAATTTCGATTTATCGTTTTATAATTAATAAAATAATTTTAAAAGTCGTAATTTATTAATACTTTACGTAAATATAATAAAGCGAAAATTACTTGTAAAGATTTTATGCATTTTTTAACGAGGCGAAATCTTTTATTCTGTATTTGTTAAGCATTATTTGGCATTTTAAAAGTTATCTTTTATGTATAGAATGAGTTAATGTTATCGCCGCTTAGCATCTATGTACACAATTTTGTTAAATTACTCAACGGTGAAGAGATAAACCAGCAGACGACGAGTTTGTTTAATAATCTAAATGGTTTGGATAAAGATAAATCCCCGAGAATGAAAGGTGAAGATAAGGGATGTCTTTTGTATTTTTGATCGAATTGTTAATTTTACTAAATTACGTCATTCGCTCCTCTACCAGGCAGAAAAATTGATTTTATAAGTAAACTAAACAGAGAGAAAGTATTTTAATCTACCCTCCTAGTTTTTTGCATCTTGATGTTTCGGCTTCCTCGATTCCAAAAACATCAAAAAAAGGGAAACAGAATTCTGTAATATGTATGTGTGTATGTTGGTCACTATTTTGCTTATATCTGAGGACCCCACTGACCGAAATTTTTCAAATTTGGCAAGAATACTTCTACGTATAATGTATTGAAGATATTAAATTTTCGAGATTATAAGTCAAGGGGGAGGGGAGATACAGGGGTGGTAATCAAATCTCGAGTAGGTCATCGGTATAAACCATATTGATCACATTTATCACTTTTTATAGTGTAAATAAAAAAGAAATTATATAAATTTTATACAAGTTAAAATTATATTTAAGCGTTATTTATCTCGAATTATAAATTTGTAAATAAAATTTTATCTTGCTTTTAATTGATCTTAGAATTTTTTTTTGTGACTTAAGGGCTTAAATGTTAATAATTTTGAATAAAACTTTATCCAACTTTTCTTATACATAGATTATTTATTTTTATCACATGTTTTTTGTATTTAACTGTAATTAATATAATTATTTTCTAGAGTAGAATTTCTGTAAACAGTGACAAATGTGTTATTATAAAGCAATTATATCAAGTAAATATTTTGATTTTCTAACAGGGTTAGATATTTAATTTCTAGATTTATTTCCGGGAGGAGTAAATTTTCCTTTTCTCAATCGAGAACGATAGACCGAAGCTATAAAGTGATAAGAATAGTTTGGAAAACTCAAATAAATCGTAAATCCAAGTCGAAGATACGAAGTGTAAGCCTACGAAAGTGGAAAATATTTCCGGTTTTCTAAGAAATACATTCTTTCTATAGTTTGGGTGGGTGTATGGCGCGTTTTTAGAAAACAAGAGGCGTCAGATTATTTCAACTGCGAAAAATATTGGAAGTGGAAAATAGATTTTCATTCTATTTCCTGTCATAAAGTAGTGACCGGTAGAAAATCTTTGGTGGAATTTTCGCATTTTTCCTCAAACGACATTATTCACAATTGTCAAAATATAATAGAAGCCACCGATATATATCGTTTCTTAAATCTAGGAAATGAAAGTTGTCGAGTGATAAAATTTTTTGAAAGAATTATTTTATTCCAATAAATTTCCAAGGTGATTTAATATATCTAGAAATGATT